ATTTTCACCGGATACACATAAACGGTTATATGTATCGGTGAAATCAGAATGCTATGTGCTAAAGAAATGAATTCTAGTATTTTTCTCATAAAGTTAACTTTTAGTCAACTGGTTGACTTTTTGGTCAACAGTTGACTTTTGGTCAACAGTTGACTTTTTGTCAACTCATTGACTTTTTGGTCATATGATGACTTATTAGTTAATGATTGGAAAATTACGAAATATCGTATTGATATGGTATTTTCATTTATGAAATACGCATACCTTGATTAATGAGTCATGAGATGAGTCATTGCATGACTCATGAGATATGGATCATCATCCTACGAAATACAATTTATAGAGTTAATGCGTACATGAATCATATGAAATACAATTTATAGAGTTAATGCGTATGATTGATACGCATATATGATTTTCACCGGATACACATAAACGGTTATATGTATCGGTGAAATCAGAATGCTATATGCTAAAGAAATGAATTCTAGTATTTTTCTCATAAAGTTAACTTTTAGTCAACTGGTTGACTTTTTGGTCAATAGTTGCTTTTGGTCAACTCATTGACTTTTTGGTCATATGATGACTTATTAGTTAATGATTGGAAAATTATGAAATATCGTATTGATATGGTATTTTTATTTATGAAATACGCATACCTTGATTAATGAGTCATGAGATGAGTCATTGCATAACTCATGAGAGGTGGTATGGTTTGGGAACATGGTTTTAGCACATAGTTTTGATTCTTCATGATTTATTGCATGACTCATGAGATGAGTCATTGCATGACGCATGAGAGAATCATTGTTTTGATGACTCATGGTGTGACTCATAGGATGAGTCATTCATGTCATGACATATTCTTCCTCTATAAATACGAGCTCTCTTTCTTCTTGCATGGTTAATGGAAAAATGAAATAAATGGTTTATTCATAGTTGCTTTCCATACGAGAATAAAGAAGAGAGACCTACCTCTTACTAAACTCTAGAAATCTTTGAGTAAGAGGAAGTAGTAGGATTTTAAAGTACCCCGGGGTGGATATCTTGCCTTGTGTCTCAAGAAGACTCTGATTTTATCAAGCTCACTTGAAGACTTGGAGATCCACTACGAAGAGATTTACTACTACAAGGAAGAGCTAGGGGTTGTTCGATCTTCCATCGAATCACGCTTCGAAAGTATGACTTTCTAACTCTTGTATGGTCTCTTTAATATAGGGATCATGTTAGATTTAATTAGGATGGTCCTACCTTGTTTTTCATGCTCTCTACATGCTTAGTATTATTATACGTACAGTCTTCCGTTGCGTATTTTGCATGTATTTAGCATGAATTTCCAACATGGTATCAGAGCCATGGTTCCATCTAATTCAATCTTTGCATGCATATCTAACTCATAGAGGATTTTCTAATTGCTTCTAATTACTAGTTTAATTAAAAGATGTTTTAATGAAACTAGTTAATTTATTCAAGTTGTTTTGTAATGAGTTATACTAGTCATTGATTCAAAAGTATGATTTTTTTATCATAAGTTTTTAGGAGTAAAAAAACTTGTATAAATTGCAAAACACTTGTTTACAACTAGTGTAGTTATATGTTAGAAGCAAGATAGTCCTATTTGAGTTAGGTTAATCCCTATGTTATCTAGTTTTTCAATTTGTTGCATAACTAGATAGATGTATATTTTTTAATGTTGATTAAGTTATATGTTTTATATTATTTTGCATGGATGTTATGTTTATGGATGGTAGTGGACAACGATTCTCTTGCATTTATTGTATTAATGTAATATATCTAAAAATGTAATATTTTTTTTATGACCTCTTCCCTCCTCGAGCATGGGCTACGCCTACGGGTTAAGGCACTTGCTCACCGATCATGGGCTATGCCTACGGGTATAGGCCCTTGTTCGGGTGTGGAGGGTATGGTTATTTAGTTTAGTTATTTTATTTTTGGCTTTTATTTTACATTCAATGCAATATTATTTCTCATCCTACGAGATGGTTTTTCCACAATAAATGGGGTTTGCACGTCCTATGTATATGTGATTGTAATAATACAGGATTTGTAAGGGAGCTAGCACTGCAAGGAGTTGCAAATTGCTTTCCTAAATGTAATTAGTATAGTTGCATTTTATTCCTGTAGTTGTCCACTATAATTCCATATTGCTGTTACATATGTTGATATGTTGGTTGTGCCCCAATTGTAGATGTCAATACAATTGGGTGCTATATTTTGCAAAATTTATATCTCTATCTCACTAGAGAATAGTTTTTTTTATATAAAAACCTTATTTTTAAACTTTGTGAGACATGGTAATAAGAGTTTATTGACCATAGAGTGGTGAGACCGACATTAACATAGCATTAGTGTGAAAGAAAAATAAACCTAAAGGAGTTAAAAGAAATATATTTAGAACGAACTTTTAACTAGTGTCAAGGAAAATAATTATGAGTTATAGCTCATGGGGTGATGCCCAACTTAAGATTAGGGGTGATGCCCTATCTTTCGTGCTATAGTCTTAAAGAGCGGTGGTTGCTTAATTAAGGTCCAATGAATATTCTTGGTGAATAGCTCGGAACCCTCCCACCAATCTATATCAAGTTTGATTACGGTAAAAGATTTGTGAAATCGTCCGTAGCCCTCCATCATTTCAGGTGAATACTATTAAGCTTATAAATACTATGTTTGTTGGCATACGTCAAGGCATAACTATTCTATGGCTATGTAGTATTCATCTGTATATTAGATATAAGGATAGCTTAAGTTGCTTATGCGACTTTGTTGGCATACGTCAAGAGTTTGTATAATTTAAATTTAAGCCAGTCAAGAAATGATGAGTCCAAACTTAACTAGATTTTTATGATTTGTTGGCTATCGTCAAGGTCATAAAAGACTAGGGGCAAAATCATATCAAGAATTACAAGAATGTAAAAGACAAAAATTGTCTACCAATTATTGAGTATATCAATTTGCTGGCCATCGTCAAGGTTGATACATTTAATGATAATTGGATCTTGATCCCACTTGAAAACAAGAGGTTGTTTTCCGATCACCTCTTATAAAGGTTTTGAGGGACTCGAAAAATAGTGGGAGGCATAACTTGTTAGACCCTATAGGGGGGTGATTAGGGTCTTATGCTAATCTAATCCGATTTAAATGCCAATTAAAATATATTAATAAGTTATCCTAGCAAGTGTGAAATACAACAATATATATTAGCTAGGATAAGAAAGATAAACAATGAGATATATCCTATATGATAGAGATATATGTATATATGCAAGGATATATAAACAACACAAGGGTAAAATAAACAATCTACACAAGTGATAGGGTAATATGATGAGCAATACACAAAGGCGATATAAGATATGAAAACAAGAATAAGAACGCCAATGCAATCACAAACACACGATATGATCACGGAGTTCGGACCTTCCGTCCTACGTCTCCGCTCCCCACTCCCGGGGAGAAATCCACTATCACAACCGGGTTTTCTACGTTCACCCGAACAACGTTTACACCTCACAGTATCGGTTTTCAACGCTCACCGATCAACGTCACTCCTCACAATCGGTTTCCTAGTTCACCGAAAACTTTCACCCCACACTCGGTTTCTAGCTCACCGAAAACCTAACAATCTCACAATGTAACAAATATAAATTGTTCTCTAATATGGATGAGAACACAATAAAAGCTCACACTCAATGCTACAACTCTCACAACCCTAATATATTATGAATGCAAATACAATAAGCTCAAAGTGGGTGTGTGTAACAATGAGTGAAATCAAATCTAAACTCAATATAAAACTAGCTTTAATAGAATTGATAATTAACAAATAACAAATGAAAGCTAGAGTAGAGTTTAGAAAACTTCTCAATGGAAGACAAGATGGAGAGATGGAGATTGGAGCCCAAACAAGAAGATGATCTCCTCCACTTGTGAAAACTTCTTCACAAACAAAAACAAACCCTTAAACACACTTAAACCCTTGTTTAAAACTTGTTTAAAAACTTCTTAGATAGTTTGAAAAGAGATCAGCAATGGGTATTTATACCCTCTCAAAACTCAGCCAAAAACCCCAAGCAAAAAGACAAAACAGCCCCATTCAACGGCTCTAAAAAGAGCCGTTGGGACTCCAGCGGTCGACCGATGAAAAACGCGGTCGACCGGAAACAAGTTCAGAGTCGCAGGAGACGTCCAGAGAGTCTTCGGTCGACCGGGTGGAAATTTCGGTCGACCGATGGTAAATTTCGGTCGACCGGCGGAAATTTCGGTCGACCGACGGTACTGAAGCAGGTATATCCGATTTTATAAAATCGGTTAAAAATAGTAAAACAGCTTACGCATGAGAGCTGTTCTCGTCAAAAGCGAGGGGTTTTTTAAAAAATACATCCGACGTGATGATAGAAACGCTTCTCGAGCTCGTACAGAAGCAAGCAGGGGGTTTTTTGAAAAAAGCCAACGCAAAAAAAAAAACCCCAAAATCCCATCGCACTGAACAATCTCTCTCTTCATCAGCTTTCGATTCTTATCCCAAAATTCCATCGCACTGAACAGTCTCTCTCCTCCATTAAAGCCACCGCCTTCCCCCATTTCTCTCTTCATCAGCCTTCATCATTTCTCGAAACACAAAATAAGATTGCTCAAACTTTACGATTACATGCCCATAAAAAGACAGAATACTTGTTGTCTGTCTAACCAAAAACACTGCTAATCCTGATCACATGTGTGTTGATATTAAAAAGCATGAGATGCTGAGTTAGTGGAATTCAGACTCAGATCCAACTACTAAGTGATCAATTTCAGAGTCACAACCAGTTCATATTAGAAGCTCAAAACATAAAAACTTAAGAGCAAATCTCTTTAATATAATTAAAAAGCAGATGAAGCAATCTCACAAAAATGCCATATGACTCAGACATGTTCAGCAAAGCTAATTGGTCGAAAACGATGGATAAAATGGTCCAAATCAATGTTGGTGCATAATCATATGATGGTATCAATCATCATCAAACTAAAAGTTTCATGGGAGACAAGGCAGAGGATCAATAAGCTATGACCAATGCAAATTAATACATAACAAAGATTATCAGCTACACAATAAACCGTATGTTCGATCTCCAGTACCAATTTCATGCAACACACATTGATATAGGCCTTCACTGCATCTTTAACTGATCTGCACCTGAGTATTCATATTTGAACACAAATTTCAGTTAGACGTGCAATCCCTTCAACCATTAGCGCAAAAGCACAGATAAACCGGACTCAAACACAATACATTTTGCAACAGCACAAAAGCACAAAAGCAACATCCCAACTCCAATTTTAGTACATGTAGGAGATACAGATTTAACATTACAACACTGAAAACATTACAACACTGACACACCAGTTTTAGAAGCATAAATTACAAGCATAAATTTGAATGCAAATCCCATCTCCAATTTTAGAAACTAACTGATACACCGGACTCCAATTTCCAAAAAAATAAGACCGACATCAATCTATAATTCCTAAAAATAAGACCGACAAAAAAACACAGAGATCAAAAGATCACAGCTCTGTACCTTCGACCATGAGCTCGTCCGCTTCGGCTCCTCGACCTCGACCACCGGTGATCCTTACCTGAGTTGGGGGAAGGCGGTGGCTTGATGGAGGAGGAGAAATGGGGATCTCGAGAGAGCGCTCGAGCTCGAAGGAAGATCGGCCGAAATCGGCTGTGATGCTGCTTTTGCGGTGGGCGGAGTTAGGGAATTCGATGGCTTGACGATGAAGAGAGAAATAGGGGAAGGCGGTGGCTTTAATGGAGGAGAGAGACTGTTCAGTGGGATGGAATTTTGGGATAAGAATCGAAAGCTGATGAAGAGAGAGACTGTTCAGGGCGATGGGATTTTGGGTTTTTTTTTTTGCGTTGGCTTTTTTCAAAAAACCCCCTGCTTGCTTCTGTACGAGCTCGAGATTCGTTTCTATCATCACGTCGCATGTTTTTTTTTTAAAAACCCCTCGCTTTTACCCCTCGCTTTTGACGAGAACAGCTCTCATGCGTACGCATCAGTGTGCATGAGAAAGAACAATTTTTCATAACAGACCCATTTAGTTTTTTATTTTTCAAAATCGACCGATTTTTCTTTTATTTATCAAAACCGACCCGATTTTGTGATTAGCAGGCTAATTACTATCCTAAATAGTCGGGGTTGCCAACCCCGACTATTTAGGATAGTGTTAAACCCTAATTAAAGACCTTAAACCCTAAAAATTAATGTCCTAAATAGTCGGGGTTGGCAACCCCGACTATTTAGGATAGTAATTAGACTGTTAATCATAAAATCGGGTCGGTTTTGATAAATAAAAGAAAAAACAGTCGATTTTGAAAAATAAAAATCTAAATGAGGCTGTTTTGAAAAATTGTTCCATGAGAAATTCTCTCTCTCTCTATATATATATATATATATATATAGTGGAT